AGCGGCGGGGTCAAGCCCTGACCTCGTCCCAGTAGCAGCTCCCTGGGACTGAAGTGACCCGTCACCGGGGGAGAGCTTCGCTCCATCACGCCCCCATTCCCGTGGTTGTCGTTGGAGCGGCCGAGCGGGCGGCGGAACAAACCGTCGGTTCGCTTCCTCCTGTGACTGTGAACAGGAAGTAGAACACTGTTTGCTCAGCTGCTGTTAATCTATTGGCTGATTGACAGAAAATGAAGCTGCAGTTATTTTGATATCTGATTAATCGTTTGATGATTTCAGCTTCTTCAACAGAACAAACGATTAATCAAGAGAATATCTGCAGATTAATGGATAATGATGATAATTATCAGCCTCAGTTAACAGAACTCGTAAATGAAAGAAAAAATGAAAGAGTCTGAAAATTAATACAGAAGTAGTTGTGTAGTAGAAATTTGTTTTCTCTTCTTTCCTCTCCATTTAATCAAGTCAGGACCCCTTAGATTTATATCGTGTCCCTTCAGAGGGGCCTGACCCCTATGTTGGGAACCACTGGATCAACTATATATGACTATATCTGCACCATGAGCAGCAACGACAAGAAGATGCTGCTGAAGCATTTATTGACTGAAAAATCTAATAATGCCAGAAATAAACTTTTAGTTTTGAACATTTTACTGATAATAATGATAATGGTAATTTTTTATTGGCACTTCTTCCACCATTGTTACACACTGCTATCTCCTCCACAGATCAGCTGCTGTCAGATAAATTCAGTTTTTATTGTATTGTATTATCGTACTGTTAGGAAAGACGGTGGATATGAATGTGGAGGGTGTCTGCTGCCTGCTGACGGGGAGCGAGTCACATGAGACACAGCTGTGGTAACAGAATGATGAATTCACAGGTATTTTTAGAGGCGAGAGAACAATCTTTAACATCCACTGCAGCTGAAAGGATCCTCGCTCCTCTCATCATGACGGGAGGTGTCTTACATGACAGACCTGTTATAGGTCTCTGGCGGTCTGATGTCGGTGGGGGAGCTCAGCTCGCTCCTGGACCTCTTGTCGTCGGTGCTGCTGCTCCCTCCGTCGCTGTCCGCCTTCTGACTGAGGGTGTCCGACATGGCGTCGGCCCTGAGGACACAGAGCACAGACTCTGAACCAACACGACACACCAATCATCAATTAACTGATCAATAACATGTGATTAGTGACTCCCTCAGTCCAATGAGTCTGTTAATCAACAGGATGTGCAACAGATCCGCCCACATCCGTGAGTGCAGCTCGTCAGCGGATCAAATGAGCCACTTCTGTTGAATAGAACTGAAGTTCAGCTGTTTTCCTGCTGAATGAACCTTTTCACAGCAGCAAAGACGGAGAAACACGAGTGTGATTAATCACATTAGCTGCTACTGACTGTGTTTCTGGCTTCCTGGTAGGAACAAAGCCATCGTTAATGCTATTAATTAATTACCCCTGTCTGCAGTGGAAAGGTCTATTAAAAGGTCCTTTTTTTTCTGCTGAGCTGTGCCGTCAAAATCTACTTTTTATTAAAATAAAGAACTGCGACGTTTCATCAGCTAAATGGAGAATGACCCGTCTACATGACTGAAGAACTGTCAGCACGGTCGCTCTGACTTCACACACTCAGAGCTGAGCTTCTCCTTTTTTTGTAAGTTTCAATTGATTTTATAGTCTCTTCAGTTATCATCGAATTGTCTGTTTCGTATCGTCTCTGTATTGTCAATGTACAGCTGAATTATTTTTATTTATTACAATTTAATTAATTTATTATTTAATAAATTAAAATTCGTTATAATTTAATAAATTGCAATGTATTATTTTTTTTATTTATAGTTTTCTTTTTTTCTAATTTATTGAATTCTAATTTATTCTAATTTATTAATTTATGATCATCAAGAAAATGCTGACTAGATTAATCTGAAGCTGAAACAATTAGTTGATTAATCACTTGATTAATCAGCAGAATATTAAATGTCAACTATGTAGATAATTGATTCATATTTTAGCAAAAAATACCAAACTTCTCCTGGTTCCATCTTCTATCTGAAATCAAAACTATATTTTTATATATTTTTATAATTATAACAGGCTTTTTCTTCAATTCTTTTTTTTTTTTTACATTTTATAAACTAAACAATTAATTGATAAAATAATCAATAAAATAATAATTTGAAACTTACACTGAAACCAAGTGGAATTAAAGGGACACTCAAAGAGAGATGGAAATCAGAATGAAGGTGTATGTATGTACTAATCATCTCACCTGTCCTTCACCACGATGTACTGATGAGGCACCAGGCCGTGGTTGCCGTTGTGCCGCCCCTCCCACCAGTCATGTGACGCTCGCTGGAAGAGCTGCAGGGACGCTCCCTTCTTGAAGGAGAGCTCGCGGCCTGACCGGCCCACGTAGTCGAACCTCGCCACCGCCTCCACAGCCTCACCCTCTTTGCGGGGGGGGGGGGGGGGGGGAGCGAGAGAGAGAGAGAGGAAAGAGAGGGGGGAGGGGGAGATAAAAGACGTGAAAATGGAGGTGAACCTGAACTTGTCAATCAGCTGTCTCTGAGGCTTTGTTCCTCCCACAGCTCAACCAATCAGAGAAGAGCATTTATAAAGTCGTTTCTGTTCATTCAGATGGAGAGGAGAGAAGAGGAAGGGCGGGTGGGGTTGGCGAAGGCAGTGAGAGAGAGAGAGGGAGGGAGGGAGGGTGGTGGTGGTGGTGGATGTCTCCATGGCTGCTGTTGCCGTAGCAACCTCTCTCTCCACCAGGAGACAGCGGGATGGGAGTGTGGGCGATTGTGTGAAGGTCAGAGGTCATGCGTACCCTCGTCGCTGGTCTGGGTCTCGGTGCCGGCGTCGGGCTCGGCCTCCTCCAACGCTCCCGGCTCGCTGAACGGACTCTCGCTGCAGGAAGGAAGAAGAAGAAGAAGAAGAAGAAGAAGAGGAAGCAGAAGAAGAAGCAGAGAGACGTGCTGTTCATTCATTCAGTGTGGGAACAAAGGGAGGAGGGGGAGGCACGGTGGGAGACGAGGCAGCTAATCAGAGTCCGAGGACGTTTATGCAACAATCCAGCTGCAGCAGAATGTCAAGAGTTCAGCTGATGATGGGAGAAGAGGAACACAGGAGAGAAGGTCTCTGCACTACAGGGATCAGTGTCTTTTACAGACTGGTTTAATACCACAGCCACGGAAAGAAAAAAAACTTGTCTCTGATTGGCTGCCAGGTGTCTGTTGAAATTATATGAAGGAAAGAAAATTGACAGGCCACTGCCATGGATTCAGTGAGATATATCTGTTTACATTTTTGCAAACTTGTATTTTAAATTATGCCGAATTAGCCAGTATCACTTCCTGTTTCGCAGTGAACCAATGGATGCACAGACAGCTGTCACTGGATTCCTGTGATACTGAAGGAAACCTAGAAACAAGATAAATCTCAGGCAGGTTCTGAATCTTTCTTCTGTGACTTCTAAGCAGATTTATGGATGATTATTTGCCAAATACATCACAGATAATGATATCTTTAGAGTGTAAGTCACACTGAGTGAAATCAATATGATAAAACTGTTATGCAGAAAAAGATACTGGATTTATACACTGAACACGACTGAGCTACAAGGGTTCAATGAGGAAATCTTGTTCTCTGGGAATATACTGAGAAATCTTGTGTTTTATGACGATGAAAAAGTTTTATAGTTTCTAAGGTATCTTCATCAACTCTCCATCCACAACACCACCTCCACTGCCTCTTCTTACTCACATTTCAGAGGGAAATAACTGTCTATAAATGAGTCTGAATGGTTTTACATGCTGGTCTCACCAGTACTGATCTCCAGTCATGCACTTCTCGTAAACCGGTCCGGGCAGGTCCTTGGTGTCGGGGAAGATGTTGTCATGGTGCAGGATGACCGTTTTGATGACCTCGTTCACGTGCGCCTGACAGGCCACCTGGTCCAGCGTGTCCGGCGTGGGCAGGAGGGTGGGGCCGAACACGATAGCCAGGTTCCCAGCATCCATCATGTTCTCGTCGCTGTACTGGGACAAGCTGCGGGAAAGGGAAACATTTGGGAAAATGGTAACACTTAACTTCAGGTCCCCATGTTTATTATTCATAATCAGTATATATATATAACAATATAATATATTATATATAATATATAGTTAATGGTTTGTAACATACTATAAGGCCTTATAAGCAGATATAAGCACATTTGAATTTGTGTCAACAATTATTATTGCTTCCTGGGATGTCGCCTGCAGCAGTTAAATGAAAATGAAAATATTTTCACTCTCCTCGACAATGAAGCTCCTGGTTTAATAACACTGAAGCTGAATGCTCTTCATAGCCTTGCTACTAAACGCATCAATACATTCAGCTGGTGCATCACACCTGCAAATCACACTTATCTCCCCTCCTGCTCACACCTCCTGCCTCTCCATCGCTCCCTGCTCTCTCGCGCTATATTTATTTCAGAGGCTGCAGAGATTAAATGAGCTTGAGTTTTGTCATCTCGACTGCACTTCCATGACCCTTCACTACAAAAGAGGTTTATGGCCTCTCCCAACTATCCTCAGCTTTAACACCACATGGGAACTCTGGGGAAATGGAAAGAAATGGGCAATTATCATTAACTGTAAGTGCCTGGTTTTGTGTAAGTGGATACTCACTGGTTGAGGAAGGCGAACAGGTAACGCATCACCACCAGCGTCGCCCTCGGGACGCCCAACAGGATCTTACGGACGCACTGCGCTCTCTCGTAAAGGTTTTCTATTCCTGCAGAAAAAAATTCATAAATCAGAGGGAGACATCGTCAGAGACATCTCGAGGTGTCTGTTAACACCATGACGACGTCAACGACAACTTCAGCCGGCGCCACAGAAAGAGAGGTAGTCGGCTCCGTGTCTCTGCTGAGGAGTTGAGTTTCAGAAAGACAAAGAGACACTAAAGAAAAACAAAGACGGAGAAACTGAGAGGGAAAGCGAGTGTGTGTGTGTGTGTGTGTGTGTGTGTGTGTGGGCTGAAGATAGACAGAGATTCAGTCTGTGTTTCATGGCAGCAGCTCGTGTACAGATGGAGGCAGCACAAATGTTCCAGGTCACATCACAGTGAAACTCGAGTGTTACAGGTCGGTGTTAGAAACTTTTTCATGTTTCTCTGCTGCAAAAATTCTCAGCAGAAAGTAGAAAGTCCATCCATCCATCTTCTTCCCAAGACAGATGAGATATATAATCTCTCCGGTTTGTTCTGGAACTACCCCCCCAGGTGTCCTATCAGCTGGAGGTGCCCCGAAAACCTCCAATGGAAAGCATCAGCGCCTCAACTGACTCCTTTTGACCCAAGATGAAAATCTTGAGGTCTTGTTCAGGAGTTAGATTGAGGGCGATGTACCGGACCGTTGAGATGAAGAGGGAGTTGAGCCTGAAGGCAAAGCTCTAAGGATCTAATCTCAACCCTGACCTAAGATCATGAGCTTTGGGAAGTGACCAAAACAATGACATACAATTTAGATATCCGGAGAAAGATCGGAGTCAAAAGGTGGTACAGGTATCTGATCAGGATTCCTCCTGGGTGACTTCCTTTGTATGTTTTCCGGGCTCATCCAACCTTGACACCACCTTATACGCACATTGTTGCACATCACCAGTAAACAGGCAGTGGTACTCACGGACGCAGGAGATGAGGTCATTAAACCTTTCCTTGGGAAACAGCGGGTTCTCCAAACCCCTGAAGTAGAGCTTCAACACTCCGGCCACAGAGTTGATGTCATGGTTGCTCTCCTCGTCAATCAGCGGGTCATTACCTGGACGAGAGACACAATGAGTCAACATCCTTTAACACCAGAGGCTGGCGATCAGGTGACCTTCCAGTTGACCTCTCACCTCTCTCAAAGGAGTTCTTGATATCATTGACCTCCACCTGTGATCCTGACACCCGGAATATGCCTTGATGCTGAAGACCTGTTGGGAACAATACAGTTTAAGTTATGATTGCAATATCTTTAGCCCCTTCTGCTGCTGTTTCTTATGGTGTTCCCCAAGGCTCCATCTTAGGACCTCTTCTATTTGTGTCATAGAGTAAACTGTGTGGTTCCTCCGCTCTCTGGGTGGTTTCAAGAATACACAGACATATTTAAAAATAGAAGAAAATAAAATAAAAACCAAATAGTAAAAAGATAAAATAAAATGAATAATAACAGAAGAAGGTTTATATCTTTCTCGTACCTGTCCATTAGATATAAGGCTACAGCGAGTTAGCTTATCTTAGCATAAAGAGTGGAAACAGAGAGAAACAGCTAGCCAAAAGTACCAACATCAGCCTAGCAGCACCACTAAAGCTCCATAATTAACATTTTATATCTTATTTGTTTGATCCGTATCAAAAACAATGTGTAAAAACAAAAACTTTACCATTTTACATGCTTCTCTGCACTGTATGGCAATAATTTATAATAATATGATTAATTAAATGAATGTGACTTGTACTCTTATAAATGGCAGTATGTAGATGGACGGATTAATCAATTAAAATCACATACAAAAACATTTCTGAACTCAAAATAATAAATACAAATACATGTAAAAAAAAACAGCCGAGCCAACTGAAGCTGAAAATTAAAAAGTGAAACTCACCATGTAGGTTGATGTAGCGGATGCAGCTCTCCACCAGCAAGGGTATGGCTTTGGTTGAATCCTACAAACACAGTCATCAAGTACACAACTTTAAACTTCACTCATTCTGATTCTGCTCATTGATTGCAGCAACTATTGACTTCCAGGAGTTTGAAAAGTGAGGAGGGACATGTTACAAAGACAAACATCCTGAGGGCTGATAGAAGTGAAACTCTACCTGGTGCTTGCTGTGGGAGTTCTTCCGCCCACGACTGTAATGAGCAGAGAGAGGAGGAAAGAGAGAAGGAGGGGTGTCTCAAACTGAAGTGGTGGGATGGGAAGTAACAGTTATTATTAAGGTGAAGAGAAAACATGCACTGATACCTTACCTCGTAGTTAGCAGTTCAGCTTTATAACCTGTAAGAAAAGAAAAATACAGAGGAAGTTTTAAAGGTCAGAAAAGCTGATTAACATGTGTATTAAAAAAGACAGAAGGTAAGTGAGGGAGAGTTTCTGTATGTTTTACCTTCTGCTAAGGCTTTCTTCAGTATGTCATGTTTGGCCTGGAGCTTGGAAATCAGATTACTCCCCTCCAGATACTCGCGGAATTTCTTAGGATTGAAAAATAAGAACACAGAAGCTCGGTTCAGTGTGTAATCCTCCTGTACTGTCCGGTGTCGGCAGACCAGTATGTGGTATGTAAAAATGAGTATACGATTCTGTTCTCTCACATTGAAGTAGAAGAGCTCCGTCTCCTGCTGGTTGGCCCGTCTCTTGGCCAGACTCGGTTTGTTCAAGTAGCCGTCCGACACGCTGGACTTGACCGACTCGGACGACGGGCTGTGGGTGAAGCTCTGGGAGACGTCGAAGTCGTCCAGCACCGACATGTCCTGCAGGGTGGTGAGAGTTGCACCCCAGGTCTTCTTCACCTGGAGGGTGGGTGGAAAATTTACTCAAAAAAAAAATTCTATATATTTCCATAATTTAAATATTTTTTCAAAAGAATAAAAACTTGTTGATGGGAACAGGAAAAGATGGTTATACTGCCAAAGTAGATTGAGAAGTTTCTATAGATGTTATGATACTGCTTTGCTCTGAGGGTCAGTTAAAACTAATTTGAGGTCATTTTGCATTTATTTTTAATTGTTTTGTGTGACTTTTTTGTCATTTAGCGTGTCATTGTGGTCATTTTGCATCTACTTTTAACTGTTCTGTCGCTTTTTGGTCGTCTTGTATTTCTTTGTGCTCATTCTTTTGTCTAGTCATACTTGTTTTACCTCTTTTTTAGCCGTTCTGCGTAACTTTGTAGCCCCTTGTCCCTGTGCCTCGTAGACCCCTTCAGTAAATCCACCCATGTTTAAACATCACTGTGATCAATAAATATCTCTCCTGCTGCAGAATGTTCTGCCTGAACCGCCTCATCTAGAGCTCTCCCAAATATCAGGAGTCATTTCCCGAGTTAAGGAAGTTAAGAAACCACCAAATCACTCTGAAAGAACTTGAGCTAGTTCGGATTATTTTCCTGCTCTGGGAGGTTTGATGAATCTGGACCCAGAGCTGCATGTGAATCTATTTTTCCACCTTAACACACTGAACTCTTTGCTCTACTGATCCTGTACGGAACGATGACTTCGGAGGCTGAAAATAATTTTCATGACTGCACACGGCTTCATGGATCACGAGTCATGAATTATGAATTTTTAATTGTTTCAGGGTGGAGTTTAATTTTCCTAAATTTTTGATGAAGTGTGTGCGCTCGGGCACAACTGCTCCTGTCTGTGTACACTACATATGCAAAGCACGCTTGTGTTTACAGCAAAGATAATGGGCGTGAAAGTGTTTTTTATTTGTATATGATAATCAGGGTGTGTTTGTGTCGACGTGTGTGTATTTGTAAGCTGCTGAGACGTGCAGATGCAGCTCATTAATCCAGACTCCTTCAGCATTTTTATGCCCTTCAGGGTGAGTTAGCAGCTGCCCTCTGCGCACACAACACCACAGTCTGCGCCACCTCAACACTGACAAGGCCACAGACTGCGGCGCCACGTCGCCTTCTCATGGCACAGGTTTATTTTTGGAGGTTACATCTGTTACATTATCACCCCATTAAAACAGTATAAATTAACATAACTTTGAACTGTCAGAAAAACATTTAAATTTGTTATCAGTCAGGTTTTTGGATTTTGTATCAGGATCTACACTTAAAGCCAGTGTAATATCTGTAATATGATACAGACATTAGTCATTCTCTTTTCATGTGATGTAGAAATCATCAATCAATGATTCTGAAATCACCACATCTCTGATATTATCAGTGATTCAAACATATTTGTTATTGAGGTCAATGGGAGCCGCCTCCTTCATTGGAAAACAACCATGCTAATCAGAGGATTAAGGCCACGTCCACACTGATACGTTTTAGATTTAAAATACATCACTTCTGATACGTTCACTCCTGGCAAATCGGAGACTTTCAGAAATGCTTTTAATTTGAAAACCCCAGAGAGGCGTTTCCGTCTGGACTTTTAGAAACGATGACGCAGACGCCCATGTTTCGCTTCCTGATTGGGTTTTATCAGTCATGACACATCCTTCCCCGATTCATCATGCTACTATCACGTGACCCTTTTCCATGATCGCCGTATACTCTTACTTTTCGCCATTGCTGTTCCTCGTTTGTAGTATTTCCTGCAACTAATCAACTGCTTCCTGTTTACACCTGCACGATGTCAAGTGTACGTGAATGGTCATGTGACATGTGTTTTCAGATGTTTTACCGCGGACATATTATTTTAGATATGGAACTAAAATCCTCTTTTTTGTTCTAAAACGCCGTTTTAAGATGAAAACGTATTAGTGTGGACGTAGCCTAAGAAAAGAGGGACATTTTTATGCCTCAAAAATGGCGACAAAGGAAGATGAAACTGACAAAGCTCTACAGGTTGTTGCTGGATTATCAAGCTAACGCAGCAGCAAACCCAGGTCTAAATTTCCACTCGTGCAACAAAGATCGTTTTCCCTCCATAACAGAGTTTCTCTAATACAACAGACAGAACTGCTCTCTTCAGAAAAGACTGTAAAACAGACATAATATAAAACCCTAGGGTTGATGTGCAGAGGATAAAACACAACACACACACATCTGGATTTTCTTTTTTGAATGAGCAATGAGACTTCAAATCCCATCGTGCCTTTACAATGATCTAATAATAGCAACATCCATGATAATAAACAATAAAGATGATGAAACATTTTTAAAAAATTCAACCAAACCAAAACTATTTTCTGTCTTTGACACTTTGACACTATAAAATATTTTCTCAGCTCAGGAAAAACATCCTGCCTCAGTAATGAGCTGCCAAGGCAAGTCTGTATATTTTCAACACCAAATTAACTTTTTTAATAATTTAAAATTCTACTTCCATTATGTGTCATTACATTATGAAAATAGAGAAAAACAGCTCACTTGTGTTTGTACAGCTGGAAATTTTGAGCCATTATTTTTTTGCTGTGCTGTGTTTGTGTGTCTCACCTCTTCGTTCTCTATCTTCAGCGACGCCAGGCGGGTCTGCAGCTGTGTGAGGCGGAGGTTGAGCTCAGCCTGGACCTGAGGCTGGGAGGCGATCTGGGTCACCTGACAGGACGTGGACCAACAACAACGAGTTTATCAGAGAAAAAAACTCAGATACTGTTTGTCCTCATTAAGACCCTGTACGAATTATATGCGTCAATATTCAGAACAGTTTTCACTACCCCCCACATATACATGTTTAAAATATCTAATGGCTGTTATTACTATTATTATTCATCTTATTCTTCATCAATTAAATCTCTATCAATTAAAACGTTATTCTACAAACACGTCGGTTCTGTGTTCGGTGCGAGATACTGACTGCGTCACCCATGTGGGCCTGGAAGCTGAAGCGCTGCGGCGGGCAGAAGGCGGTGGGGTAGAGGCCCAGCAGACGCTGCCTGTCGCGGGCGGGGTCCAGGCCCTCCACGGCCCCCTCCAGCACCTCCAGACCCGCCCTCCTGGAGGCTTCAAGGCTCAGTTCGGCTGATAGGTAGGTCCTCAGGGCCCGGCTCAGACTGGAGTGGTACCCTAGGTCACAGCACTGAGACAAAGAAGAACTCTGTAAATCTCATTCTCATGTTGTGGCCACCAGCTTTGTTTGTGAGGATTCATGTTATCTCCACCGGTTGAGACAGATGGCCCCAAAAAAATACTACAATACCCATGAGCCTTAGCTGCTGTTGCTACAGAGAAGAGGCCAGTCAGAGGCGTGAGTCATTGTTGAATTTATGAATGAAACGTGGCTGAATTCAACAAAATCTGATCCTCAATTTAAAAGTGAATTAATTTAAGATCATTTCAATTTGTTTTTTTTTGTTTTTTTCTATTTTACCTTGATATTAAAAATATGAAAGTAACATATTCGATTCAAAATCCTTGTTTATGGCTGTTAAACTCGTCTTAGTTGAGCCACTCCCTCGTGTCCTCCCTGAGGGACATATAGGAACTTTATTTTGAAGAGTTTAAGACTTTCTCCACACACCCTGCTTCCACCCTCTCTGGTGACGAATCCATAACGTTTACTCACGTCTATGATGTCGGGCAGGTCGTGGATGTAGTATTTAAAGCAGGAAGCGTTGGTGGCCTCCAGAGTCAGCAGATACTCGTTCCTGGCTTTCAGAGCCTTCAGTTTGTTCTCTGAGTACTTTGCCTTCCTCTAATGAAGAAAGAGAAGACGACAATATCGGTTATCAATCCATGCGTTCCTTCCTGGCTTCCATCGGAACATCGCTCTTATGGTGTTTCAGCAATAAACACGTTTTAATTATCCATCTGTGTCATTTCTATTCAGTCACATGTGACGCTGGAAATTCAAGAAGAAAATATTTTTATGTGAGATGCTCTATAGGAGATTTTAACAGTTCACGTTTGGGTAAATAACCCAATAAAAATACATAGAAATAAGACTAAAGCTCTATTCCAACATGGAATGGGGTTCCCACAATTCCCTACAGTCCTCCTGTCATTTAGATCACGTCCTGCAAAAATGGAGGAAGATCTTTGAGATGGAAACATGCTACAACTCAAGGCCATCAGCCAACGTTGGAAAAATAATAATAATAAAGCCATCACCAACATGAGTAAAATTTAACTAAAAGTAAAATCAAAGTAGCTCAATTATCTGTTACCTGCTCCTGTCTGCAGTGAACTCATGGATGTCCAGACAACTATCACTGGATTAATGTGATACTGAAGAAATCTTAAGACATGATGATTCTCAGGTGAGTTCTGAATGGTCTCTTTCTATGATTTCTAAGCGGATTTATGGAGCTTTATTCATCATGTACATCAGAGGTAATGACACGCTCAGGAAGTGAAAGTATAAATGTGTTTCCTGTCTGTTTATTCAGATTTGAGTTATGACTCTAATTCACCTCACGCAGCATCTTTGCCGCCACTTAACTTCTCCAGCTTCCCCACGGGGAGGCGTTTGACTCTCTCTTTCATCTCTGTCCAGATGAATATTTGTGTCTTTTACAGAGCAGATCCTGTAATTTCCTGATGGTTTAAAAGCCGCTCAGAACGACGAGTTAAGCCACAGAGGAGCACAGTGAATGTTTCATCCCCCACCTCCACCCCCGTGATGCTAATCCCGTCTGAATGGGGTTTAACTCTGGGTCAAAACACCTCATCGTCCTGGGCGTCATTAGTGACCTGATGGTTTAACCCGGGAATTGTGTAGGTGCTTGTGAAACACGGTTGCAGGTAAGTGAACGGATGTGCGTACCTTCTCTCTCATCTTCTCCATCTTGCGGGCGGCGTTGCGTCTCTGGTGACGCTCCTCTATCCGCAGGCCGAACACAGGCTCCACCCCTCCGCCCGTCCCCGACACGCCCTTCACGCGGCCCTCCTGACGCTCCGCCTCCCGCAGCTTGGTTTCCGCGTTGATCGTCTCCGCGTGGTACATGTGATATGTCTTCATCACCTAGGCAACAGCAGCCCGTAGCAACACAGCCTCAGAACCAAATGGACCACAAAAAACTGTAAAACAGCTCCAGCCGGGGTCGGCTGTTTTCTTTTTGTTTTGTTTTTTTATTCCTCAAGGTTATCAGGTCCACGCTAATCAGATGTGGACAAGAAGCTTTTAAGGCTCAAAATAAACGCTGACATTTGATGGACAATAATCAGCAACTTCCTCTTTCAAGGATCGTTGCAGAAATGAAAAATAATGTCAGGAAAAAAGCAAAAAGTTCACAAAACATCTTTGAATTTCAGGCAGCGGTGGCCAGTTTTTCAACTGAAACAGACGCATTTCGATCTTTTAAAATATGACTTTTATGTGACTTTTCTTACAGTTACAGTTTCTGATTCATTCTGCACCCCAGCTGACGAAGTACGACGTCGCAGCCGTGAGCTACAACTCGCTGCTCTCACAACTCACAACATCCACCCTCCTTCTCCACCTTTGTTCCACTTACGGTGTAAAGCTCGTTCAGCAGCTTCATGAGGTCTTCCTGAAGCTGAAAGATGATCTCCTTACTCTGACAGAGGAGACAAAATATCATCATCAGCAGCAGGTAAATACATGTATTCACATAGTGTGTCAGCAGCAGCGGAAAGTAACAACTTACACACCTCAATAATGTAGTTTAGAACAATTTTGAGGTAAAGTTTTTCCTTTTTTTTTTACTCCAGTGTATTTATCTGACAGTTATAGTTGCTTTTCAGAATAAGATTTTTACATAAAAAACAAATAATTATACAAAATAAAACACATTGTTACAGATTAAAGAGACTAGTGTTTTTGGCTTGTAACAGTTGCAACAATTGTCTGAAAAATAAATACAAATACTTATTTAGAGAAGTTTGTTTTTAGATAGAGCTGGTAGTAGCAGCGATGCACACGCAACGCAAGCAGTGTGACCCCTGCGTCAGGTTTATCTTGTGGCCCTTTGGAGGGGCCCGACTCCTAGGTTGAGAAACCCCGGACTCAACAACCTGACTGTAAGTGAAGTAAAATTAAAACTAGCTCCACTTCGAGCAGCTGGAACAGGAAAAAACCTGCTTACACACCGATGCATCAGCGTTAATAATGTCAGATATGAGCAGAAGGACTTTAACTCGTGATACTTTGAGTACATTTTAATAATAATACTTTGTTGTGGTCTGCACAGATAAAAAAACAAGCTGAATGTCAATATAAAGCCGCAGGTTCAGCTGACGATTCTTCTTCACCTCGTCATTTTATTCTTATTAAAAACGTCTCAGTCACAGCAGCTTTAAGAGAAGGATCTGAGTCCTTCCTCCACCGCTGTGTGTCAGTGTAAAGAAATACTCAGGACGGCCGAACAGCAGCGGATAAATAAATGGATCTGACCACACACAAACAAACGAATTCATAAATGAAACAAGCCGTGTCCTGCTGCCTGCACTCAGACTGAATTTCTGCCTCATGCATTAAACAGCCGACCGGTTTGGGGAAGGAGTTATGTGGCGGCGCGGTGCCACATTAATATTGCATTATGCTAAATGACTGTGGAATCCCAGGATGGATGAATCCCGTTCCCATAGCGCCTGCTGAGAAAAGATCAGCTGAGCCTGTCGCCATGGCCACAGGGCTGTCGGCGTTGTCATGGCCACTCGGCCGTCTGTCTCTCTTTCCTCCTTGTCCCTCTTTTCAGAGCAGAGTTCCTTCACAGGACACAGGGAAGTGATGGAGGTCTTGCTGTTTATAGCTGCTGGCAGCCGCTGCACTTTAGTTAGCATGAATAAAAGACGAGCCGGAAGAGAGATTAATAATGAACATGGCGAGCTGAAGTTGGAGGCGGTAAAGTGTGTGCATGTGTGTGTGTTTAATTTGTTAAACTCTGAGGCGGCGCAGAAGAGCTCAGGGGAATACTGACTTTACTTTTCATTAGAATCAACTGTTCTACTTAGAGAAGAAGCGCTGAGGTCTCCACACGAGGAGAGCGCTCAGTACAGTTAGTTACTGTACTGTACTTAAGCACAGTACTATGGTTCTTGTGCGTTCCTTAAACCAGGTTATAATCAATACTTTGATAATAGCTACGTATCAAATGACAATGTGACAAATGGGTCTCTGGTGGTGATGAACCTGCAGGGAATTATCAGCTGACTCTGCAGCTTTACAGAGATTTATACTGAGTTTCAGATCAATGTTTTTCAGTCAGGACACAGCAGAGAGACACAGTCGGAGAGCAGCTTCGAGACTGGTGAGAAAACAGCTCTTAATGCTAATGTTAGCTATGTAGCAATAGCAAAACTTACAAATAGCTCCTTTAAAAGTTGGTGATATGTCAATGCTGTGTTCACGGTTCGTTTCGTGTAGCTGTACAAGTAGAAGAAAGTCATAAAGACTCGTACTGCTCATTGTAGTTTTTAATCAAACAAACAGGAGGAAATGGTGAATCAGTTGGGGACTATTTTCAGCGGTGGATTAATCCCCATTTGGTGCAGCAGGACGGTGTATGTGTGATTGATAATGATTCTAGAGGAACAAGATACATCAGCTCACCCTCTTCAGCAGACGGGCCGAGTCCTCGCTGATGTGTGTGAGGCGGGTGATGACGTTGTTCAGGTAGAGGTCACTGAGGGTGGCGTGGTCCTTACTCTCCCGCCTCACCTGGGAGGGAAAAGAGAGAGAGAGAGAGAGAGAGAGAGAGTGGTAGAGTGAGAGAGGAATATCTCTGATCCCTGTTATAAAAGAGTCTAAAGCAAACACATAAAAACACACACACGACACCAACCTGGTTTAGCAGCAGGTACCAGCAGTTCACCGGAGAAAGCAGGTTCTGATCCTTTCTGGAAGAGAGAGAGAGAGAGAGAGAGAGAGAGAGAGAGAGAGAGAGAGAGAGAGATGTTTGCATACCTGGCAAATTCAAATTCTAACCTGAACCATGAAACTAAATCTTAACCCTCAGACAGCTCTGTGTCCTCATTAAAAACTAAAATTTGTCCACACAAACATAGGAAGACATATAGAGACAAATAATTTAGACACACACACACACACACACACACACACACACAGAGAGAGTCCTACTTGTATTGCTGATGGTCCTTCGTGCTGCGCGTCTTGGCCATGAACCTCTCGGCGAGCTTCTCCAGGTTCCTGGAGTATTCGGTCTCGATCTCGGCCTTCTTCCTGAAGAAGTCCTGCAGGTCCTGAAGCAGCTGGACCCGCATCTCCGTCTGCTGCTCCAGACAGCGCTGCTGCTCCACCAACTGCGCCCGCACATCTACACACACACACACACGCACGCACACACACACAGACAGATGTAAATTAGACGCAAAATTATTGAAGTATTTTTGTGCTTATTGTTCCGTTATCCTTCCATCTCATTATGCATGACATCTATTAATCTTTCATTTTACCTCCACACATCATTGCTTTTGTATAGTTCAGTCACCCTGTTGTTGTCATGTGCTGAAAAACAAGACGGCGGGTTCTGTTTTCACGGTGGCGTAACAATCACCGCGAGCAGCGCTGTGACCTTTTGGTATTTTCATGACCTTGAAATTCACTTAGTCGGAGGTTCATTCATTCAAATGACGCAAAGTGAGTTGTTGGTCTTTTGGTGGAAATTGTGTTTCACACTTCAGAAAATAGACGTTTCTGTCGCAACATCCACTTCGCTGCCAGTCTGGTGATCTAAATGAAAAATGTAAATAAAGCCAGTAGCTTTGTTTAAAGCAGCATCAAAAGAAATACAGTTTAATACGGTTAAAGCAAAGTAAAGCAGTCTGTGTTTATCTTTAAATTAATATGAGTGGCTCTTACAGTATCTGCTGTTCACAGCTGCTTAATACGACATCAGAATCCGCTCCTTCAGTTCATTAAATCCCTGCAGCGTCTGAAGGCAGCAGGACACACACGCTGATAAATTGTGTAGCAACAGAGCGCTGAGCCATTTTACCTACGACTCTCCACCGTGTTTACATTCATTAAATCACATGCAAATGACACCAGACTCCTTCAGGACGGATCACTGTAGACAATACACCACACGTCGGTCTGGTTGCGTGATGACCCAGTGTGTTGTCCATGCAGGTAACGTGGCTCGTCAGCTGTGCGTCATTGACTCCTTTTATTCTTGACATGCATTATGGCGTCATGTCTTACTACATGATGTGAGCCTTTTTTACGACTTGAGATACAGTAGAATTAAAACTGGAATAGCACAATCCGCCTCTGGCTGCAGATTTGAGCTGCTGTGTGTTCACCCTGTTCAGACTGTGCACCATCCAGACGACAAAATCACTTCCTGTAGAAACCTCTTTCCATTTGTTGAGCGGTTTCTGCTATTTTCTGGTATGGTGCTGGTTATTCAATACTGAAGTTCAATACCTACTAGGGCTGCACAATATTTAAAAGAATTATAATCATTGTGATATGAGTCACGATTTCAGTTGGAACAGTCATTTTTGCATTTTCACTTTCACTGAAAAATCTTTTAAAAATGATGATGATGTGTTTTTTGTTGGGTCTTGCACCAAACAACCATGTTCCTTTACGTCTGGAGAATATGATTTGTTTCTGTGAACCAACTAATCAATTAACCAGCCGCTCCTCTTCCTCCCTTCACTCCCTCTCTGTCCCTTCATTCCTTCAGAATCACTGATGAAGACTGTGCATTTTTCTCTGAGGAGTCACCTTGGACAACATCTTCTGACCGCATTGAAAAAAAATCCCCACACACACAAACACACTCTACACAAACACACACACACACACACACACACAGTTCTACAGTCAGCATGGTAATGCCTGGCTGCACTCTTCACTGGTCGTGCTGTTTCAGAGCTGTGGATCTATCTGCAGCAGGAGGGAGAGAGGGGAGAGCGGCTACAGAATACACAATGATAACCCCACCTCTCTCTTTCTCTCTCACTCTCTCTCTCTCTCTCTCCCTATCTCACACACACATACACAAACACACAAAGACAGACACACACCAATCCCTGGGGGACCCTATCCACTCCACTACCTGTTGTCTTGGCAACCACACACTGTGTGTGAACCATGTGATGAGGAAGGTGAAGACAAGAGCTCAGATCTGCCGCATCGACACACACACACACACACACACATATACACACACACACACACACACACACACACACACAGAGTTTGCCGGACATGCTTCATAGATCTCTATAGAAAATTGCCATGGCCTTTGGTCCCCACAAGTCTATGAAACTCTATTTGTGTGTATTGATTCTGGCATCTTTTTGCTGTTGTTATCTTGCTAATTTAAAATGGCTGCCATCACACACTGAGAGTGCGTTGATCTGCAACACTTTCATATAAATTAATGTCTGCTCAGCTGCTCTGAGTCCCTGACGCCTGTAACACATTCTACCCTGGGCGGGGAAAAACCCTCGATCCTGATTGGCCCAACAGGACACCTCAAACACGGGTTGACATGTCCCTATGGTCAGCAGTCATTTTTCTAAATTGGTGTTAAGCCTCTAGTGAGTGGCAAGTAACCATAGCAACGCTACTGATGTTTTATGCAATGTTAAAGGAATAGTTTGACATTTTGGGAGGGATATTTATTCGCTCTTTACTCTGAGGTGAGACTCATCTCGACAGGCTCTGCTCAGTGACTGTCACCTTCACTCCAGTAATAATTACACCTGCAACTGCAGCAACATCATCTTATTTTCTTATTTGTGCTTTTGTAAATTGATTATGTAACTGTAAAGTAAAGTTGAAAATGTTTCTGCTAATCTGACACGTGGAAACACCAAAACGCCAACATACAGGCCGATTTGGGAGCAAAAAAAAAACAAAACAACAATGGACAACTAGAATGATGATTTCTAAATGGGTTTGTGGACGTTTATTCACAACGGACATCGGAGGTAATGATATTCTGAGGCATCAGTATCAGCATGTGTTTGTTTGCTTCGCTGAGAGGCAGCCTCACTTTTAAAGGTGTGCCCCCCCCCCCGATCACATTCACACAGTTACACACATTCACACCCGGAAGCTGCCCAGCGCAGCCACAGTTCAGTTGGCCACAGCTCCACTGGAGCAGTTGGGGTTAAAGGCCTTGGTCAAGGACACCACAGTGGTGTTGATGAGGGTTCTGGTAAGTGCTGCTCTTTCGCTTTTTCCACCCAACTTTAATCCTGCTCATACTGGCATCCTTCCCGTCACAAGCTTGCTCCTCTAACCTTTAGGCCACCGCCGCCCCGCCATGTGCTGAGAAAGAGTGGCATCACTCAAAAATCACTTTTTGTTTTCAGGGTCAAACTCCCACCTACATTCATCTCATTTGTTATTTCGTGGAATACAACAAACCAGTTATTGAATCTCTGTGTAACAGACACTTTTTGCTTCCCTGTGAATCCCATTCATACTGTCCATGGGGATTTCAGACTCCACTTCAAAGGGGGTAAATGCCTGATGTAAAAACGATGTGAGACTTTGCCTCTTTACATAAACATCCATCAGAGGCGGAGCTGCTCCAGAGGCTCAGACAAAATCATTTGTTGAGTCAAAAACCTCACTGGATGAAAACTAATTATTTTTGTACTTGCTATTCGAGCAGCAGTCGGTTGTTCAATTAGCCCGGAAACCGACCAATCAGCGAGCTCTTGTTTATTTGTTGTTTTTATTCGCAGCCCGGGCCAATCACAACCATATTTTCGTTAAAAACCAAGATGGCTGCCGCTAATGTGGGGAAGTCTTCTGAATCCGCTTTAGCGACAGTATTAAAGTGTCTCTTTCCATCAGCCTCAGCTTTGCTTTGTGTTCAGGGATAATTAGCAAATATTAGCATGCTAAAATGCTAATATGGTAATGACGAACATGGTAAACATAACACCTTAACATCAGGATGTTAACATTGCTATGTTAGCATTTAGCCTCACAGTGCTGTTAGCATGGATATAGAATGTTATTTAGGGCTGCAAATAACCATCATTGTCATTATCAATTGAGCTGTAAATGATTTTTTTAATCAATATGCACAAAAATTACTGGTTCCAGTTTCTGCGACGTGAGGAATTGATGTTTTACTTTGACTACCTGAGTTTCCAACTGTTAGTCGGACATGACTGGGGTGATAAAATAAAGTCGTTTGAGGGCGTAATTTGGGCGTTAGTATATTATTATTAAAATTCTCAACTATTTTCTGCCAATTTATAAACCAAACAATAAATTTATTGATCAAGAAAATAATCCGATTAACTGTCTGTGCATTAACTTTAGCCCTAAAGAGGAGTGTGTGTCCGTCTGAGTCGGATGAAGAAGGAGGAGGAGGATTCAAGCGGAGGTGTTGAGATTACATCAATGAAACTCCTCCACTTGGATCACAGTCAATTGAAAGTGAAAGGAGGACATCCGCCGTGCTTTACCTTTTGATGTCGGAAACACTCCTTCTTAGAAACCTCCTCGTGCGTCCTCCTAACACCCCCCCCAAGACTCAGCCTCTTTGATCAGAGGAGCTACAGTCAGCACCGCACAATGTGGCAAAACACTGACACGGGGGAAAAAAAGTATGCAGACAATGTACCGAGCATAAAGAATCTGTCTCGTGAAATCTCCGGACTGATTCCATCTGAAAACTCCCCAGAGCTCGTTTTGCTGCTTTTGCCGGAGGGATGGAGCGTTCAGGTCGCGCACCATCGAAGGTCAAAGCATGAAACCAGCAAAGAGGATGAGGACGACGCACAATCATCAATTTCACGTCATATTTTTTTTGTTTAAAGTGACGCTTTGCAACATTTGCATAGAAATACAACACACGAAAATGACATGAAAGCTGCCCTAAACTCCATCAACGCCGCCTCACATTTGATTCAGTTCACTACAAACTCATTTCTATCACCTCTGTTTCTCCACATTAGAGAGAGTATGTGCACACACTTCTAGAGTGAAGCTGGATCTGATCCCAAAAATCCTGGAACTTGTTCAAATAAAAACAGCAAAACATTTACAGTAGAAAAAAAACCCCCACATATGCACAAATATGATGCCAAAAATCTGAATTAAATCATCACCTGGAGACGACGGACGTCTCGACTTTCCTGTTCGTGAGTCTGATCTCCAGCAGCATCATTACTCGTCTGACTGATGCTGCTCGTTTCTCCACGTTGATGCACACTTCCGATAATCTACGTGTTTCCAATAACAAACAGATGTAATCCAGAGCTAGCTGGTTAGCAGGCTAACTTCAGCAGAAGAGAAGAAGTGATAGAAATAGAAGCAACAGAAGCTTTTCACCACCGGAGGAAGCTCTTGGTGAGTAAAGGAATGAAGTTTGATGCTAAACTCACAACATTTTCTTCTAGACTGCTAAGTAAACAGCTGTTAATGCTAACGTTAGCGTTGTAGCAATAGGAAAACCTACATATAGCTCCTTTAACATGATGTGGATATAATCTACTGCCAGTGATGTCGGTCATTTTAACTGGAGGAAACATCGGTCTTGCATGTTTTCAACTTTGGTTTTTGCCAATAAAAAATAATGAGAGATAAAAAGGTTCGACTAAAACTCATTAGCGATCAGAGTTTAATGAATCCAGATTTTTTTGCCGACCTGGAACCAGATCCAAAATGGAACCAGCTATTTTTTATGACTTTTTTATGACATTTTCGAGATGACTCATCGATAAGGTTGGGAAAGTAACTGTCACTTTAATTGATTCTATCATCTATTGTCAGATGACGGGCCCTCTCCTGGCTGAGGGAGGGTTCGCTTCCAGCTGGTGATGAGGAAAGTGACTGACTCATTAATTATCCTCCGATTCATTATCCATCCAAAACCTCGCCTGTGTTCACTTCCATAATGAGAACAGTGTTTATCTGCATGAATAACGGTTTGATCGGACCGGGACGGTATTCTGTGGTTAACAGCATCAGTTCTCCTCTGTGCACAAAGTTCTTCAGGTACACGGCAAAGGTAGGTTGTTCAGGCATCTTGGAGAACTTCAGGCTGTCTCAGCATCTCGTCATGCGATCCCAGACAGACCACACTTCAAGATGTTGAGATCAGGACTCTGTGGGGGGCCGGACGACATCTGTTGCAGGACTCCTTGTTCTTCTCGTCTCTGATGATACAGTTCTTTATGACTCTGACTTTATGTTTGGACAGTTGATGAACTGCTGCAGGATGAATCTCGGACCGATCGGACGTCTCCCTGAAGGGATCGAGGAGGCCACGATGTCTGACCAACTCCATTTGCAGAAATGTGGCCCTAAACCTGCAAGAAATCTACACCAGGATTCACTGTTGCCTACAGACACTCGTCCTTGTAGCTGACTCATCAGTCCAGAGCACCTGCATTTCCGGGTCATCCGTTTTCATGCATAAGTGAGTCTCTTTGTTTTGGCTCCTCATTAGAGGACTCGCCTTCAAACCTTCCTTAAAGACAACTTCTGACCAGACTTCTCCAGACTGTAGACGCATGTACCAGGGTCCCACTGGTTTCTGGTCCCTGTTGGACGTCTCGCTTTGAAGGGAAGTCAGCTTGATGTCTTTCGTCTGCTAGTTCCTTGTTTCCTTTCTTTTACATTTTTTTTTCACTTCTTCAGCAACCTCACAGTTCATTGTACTCAGTGTTGTTTCACCTACAGAGCATTTTCTGTTTCAGTTGGTTTAACCTACATATTACATTGTAATATAATAATTAATATCTGTTTACTCACTGGGCTTTTTCCTACAAATTCCTGAAGCTTTGTATCAAGAAACTGGAATATTTCACCATTTGCAAAAAGGGATGTTTGGAAATTCAAAATTCATTTAAACTCTATTTTCCATTGACACGCTCACGTAGAAGATATAAAACGAGACAGAAACACACTCATATATGTGCATGTGGGTGTGATGTCACAAGCACAGGAAGCTGACCGTTACCATGACGACCAGGTTCAAGGACACGAGGGCACAGGAGTACTGCTGGATCATGATTAAGAAAGGGACACTAACACGCATACACACCGATCTCGGCCTTTGAGTCGGCCCTCCGGAACGTTTACTCAGTGAAGAGTCGCTTCATTATCTCGCTCCTTCATTCATTCCCCTCTCTCCCTCCCTCCCTCCCTCCCTCCCTCTCTGTCTGTTCGTCCGTCCTGCAGGTATACAGATGTGAGGTCACTAATCACCTGCATGCACACGCAGGCAAAAAAGACACAAGCTCTGCAGCCGGCGGCGCAGCGTGCAGCAGGAAACACTTCATCTCTGCCTCCTCTGCCTCGCGTCTGTCTCTCCTCTCCCCCTGCAGAGCTCTTTTTTTTTTTTCCTTTTTTCATTTGCATTTTCTCATTAAGACGATTCCCCATCTCATTCAGGCAGAGGAGGTGTCACGCCGTAGCCAGTGAGGTGACGGTCCGACATGGGGAGCAGTGCACACTCAGTGCAATTCAAACCAGAGCATTATCAAGCACACAAATATGTATTGTCAGCACTGTGCATAATCCTTCCGCTACCTTTCCCAAAAGGCTCACCTCACCTCAGCGAGTAGACCCCACCTCCTCGTGAGAGAGCGGCGGCCACCTCCTGTGTATACATTACACACCACCTCCTGCATCGGCCAATCAGGAGCCAGAGCAGGGAGGCAGACTTGGAAAGCACATAGTTACAACAGCGGATCTATACGTTTGGCTCTCGGCAGGAGGCGACAGGGACGCAGAGAGGGCCGGGTCGGCCGGGCGGCGGAGGAGGAGTGGGGGCTTTATCCGAGCGGTCATTACAATGCAGGGCATCCCCGAGTGTGTTTTGGCAGGGAGCCAGAGCAAGGGCCACATGCACATGCACACACACACACACACACACTCACAAACACATACACAGACTCACAAACACATACACAAGCAAACACAGACACACTCCTCACTTGGGGGCTGTAATGCTCTCTACTACTCTCCATTAAATTTAATCACTCAAAGTCTGCGTCGATTCATTGTGCGTTCAAGTGTGTGTGTGTGTGTGTGTGTGTGTGTACAGAAAAAAGGTTTGTGGGGGGGTAAAGAGGGATGAAGGAAAGAGAGAAAGAATAGAGTAAACACACGTCTCCTCCTCCTCATACTCAGAGGAGACGGCATGGATTTTAAAAAGCTCCCTTTAGAAGCTGAAAGCGATGGCGCTGGTGATGGTGATGGTGATGGTGTGGGCGTAGGTGACAAGTGAATATGGAAGAAAAGTGTGAAGAGCCATGTGGAGAGAGAGAGAGGAGCGAGCTGAAGGCTGCATGGGAGAGACAGAAGAAGAAGAAGAAGAAGAAGAAGAAGAAATCTTCAGTGACAGATTCAGAGGCTGAACAGGAAACAAAAAAAAAAAAAGGCTGTGTCCCAGCTGTCACAAATGGCATTTGCAGGTGTCCGAATAAGGTGTCGCGCTAGTAAGTAAAGGTCGGACATTTTGAACTGTGCCAGTACGGCAGGTAAAAGGGGCGCACAACAAAAATCTGGCTTCCCCTCCCTCTGGTGCAGAGAATGAGAATGAGGCCGCCTGTTACAGTTGTAGTTTTCATAAAAGGTCATTTAACTTGTCCGTCATCCGGCACAACGAAGCAGGGATGATGGTAACCATGGAGTCAAGAGGAAGAGGAGGAGGAGGAGGAAGAGGAGGGGAAGAGGGGGTTGTCCCACGGTCATGGCAACCACTATTTCAGGACTGAGGTTGTCATCATCATCACCATCACCTAAACATGTGACCAGTTTAGCACCAGGGCCATCAGGTAATCTATGGAAACCACACACACACACACACACACACACACACACACACACACACACATATACTGCTGCAGTCACAGCCTCTGAGGAATACCAATAGAAAGACTCCCAGACGAGGACACACTCGCCTCAGGTCTGAGTGTAAAACCCACTAAAACACAAAACACACACACAGACACACAAGGGCGAAAGAGATCAAGAGGCTCCGCAGAACAGATACAGATACACCTCCCCTTACTCCACACACACACACACACACACACACACACACACACACACACACACACACACACACAGTATATATAAATACAACCCATCCTCCTCCCCTTCCTCCCCCCTCAGGCGCCATGCAGCACTCAGGATGAACCCTGAAATCCTGACGTCTCACGGTGAGGTGTCAGCTCCCATACACACCCTGAGCTGGATTCACTGCATGGGCATGAGTGGTGAACATGCTGGCAGACAGGTGTGTGTGTGTGTGTGTGTATGTGTTTATGGCTAGTGTGTGTGAGCGTGCATAGGTGAGAAAAGGTGGGTGTGACTGCGAGGATTGGCTGCAGAGGTGCAGCAGCTGTTCATAGTAAAAGATAGTGATCTTACCTTTGACTTGGCTCTCGTATTCAGCGAGGATTTCTTTGTCCTTCTTGCTTTTGTTTGAGTTTGACATGTCGCCACAGTGCAGGTGACTGATCGGCAGGTAGGTAGAAAAAAAAAAAAAAGAAGAAGAAGAAGCAGCAAAAAAAAAACAACAAAACCCTGTTTTATTTCCCTCCGTGTGCTCCGCCCGAGGCTTCACCCGCGAACATGCTCGTTAGATCCATCCAGTGCCGCAACAACACAGCCAGTAGTGGCCCCGCACCTCCACGCCGAGGAGCAGGAGCAGCGGGAGGAGCAGGAGGAGGAGGAGGAGGAGGAAGAGGATGAGGGAGGGACGCGCGTGAAAAATCACGCACACTCACAGAGAAATTACCCACCCGTGACCGCTGCCGCCGGTTCCCGCTAAAGCCATCCTGTTGATAGGAAACATGAGAGTTAAATTAATAATAATAATAATAATAATAATAATAATAAAAAAGCAGCTCGTGCAAACATGCAATCACACACCCGCGCGCATGCACGCACATGCACCGGTCTGCAGGGAGGGAGGGATGGAGCACCGGGCACACGCCCACTAGGTAGAAATGCAACGGACCACACACACACACACACACACACACACACACACATACACACATACTAAACAAGGAGAGAGATACACACGCGCTCACCAGTTTGAGACTCGGGTGTTTGATGTTACCGTCACCCCGCCGTAACCTTTCACACAAGCAGACAGACGGAAGGAGGGAGGGGGGCGCGTGGAGATAATACCAATAAACGGTATAAATTAAATGCCGGTGAGGAAATGGGTGTGTCCACGCTGGAGGCGGGAGCAGAGGCGTGATTGACAGCTGCGGTGACCAGTGAGTCAAAGAGCGTCAATGGAAATGAATGAATGTGGGGGAGAGAGAGAGAGAGAGAGAGAGAGAGAGAGAGAGAGAGCTCAGTTTAACAAGAGGAAAAAATAAATGTTTGTGAATAAAGAATTTTATCAATAAATAAAAACATTTACAAACGGATTCACTCATTTTTAATTTCCTGGATTTATTTATTCAACTATTAATGAAAATGTTTATATCTTTACAATACTTTTTCTGTTATGTTGATTTGGTAAAGTTTGCATTATTTATATCATATATCATTAGTTTCAGTTAGTTATTTTTAAGTTATGTTTCAACAACATAACTATTATGTTTAATTAAATGTTTAATGTAGTATTTGCAATATTTTAAGTATGTCCTAGTCCCAGATGTAAATTTTCAAAACTCTCTTAATTGTAAATAGAGGGGGAAACTGCTCTTTAATTTAAATATTTCAATATACTGCAAGTCATTTTTCTTTTTTGATGTATTTAACCCAGTGATTTTGACCCAGTCTTTATCTGTCATAATAATTGTTCACAGACCAGCTACAACTACTATTATTTTCATTATTGATTAATCTCATATTTAATTGTTTGGTAAGAAAATAGTGGGAAAAAAAGAAGTTTCTCCAGTACAGTTTCCTAAAGTTCATGGCTTCACATCAACAGTAAAAAAAAAAAAAAATTATGAACTGAATTATTCAATTCATTAAACATCTGCTGATAAATGTTCTGTCAATCAACTGATTTATCAACATATTTTACACAAGATTTTACATGTGACATGTTTTTATTTTTTACCAAAGATCACAGTTCGTACCTTGACATAAAAATGATATATATATATGTATATATTATATATAAATAAGGAAGCTAAATCCATTCATACTGTAGCATAAAATAAGGAAGTTAATAAAAAATAAATGCTATGTGCAGTGGTGGAAAGTAACTAAGAACATTAATCAAGTACAGCTGTGAGGTACTAGTATTCAAGGTACTTGTATTCGACTTGAGTATTTCCATTTTATCCTAGTTTATGTTTCTATTCAACAACATCTCAGAGGGAAATACGGTACCATTTAATTTACAGCTCTTATTCTATAGGTGACCTCAGGACCAGGAGATGATATTGTTCTTCTCAAATGTCTAAAAAGTTAGAGATTAATCAATAAATTAAACAGACAGAAATGATTAAACATGGGGGTTTGGAGGCCCCTGGGGATCTGGGGCTCCTGGGTGGTTGCACGGCTGCTGTAGTCTGTAGTGGTCTGCACCTTCGTTTAGCTGGTGATGCTCAGAGATCTGCGCACAAAAAGAAGCTTAACTTTACTTTCTGCTTTTTTCCAGGGCCATGCTCAGAGATTTGTCCTCTCCTTCAGACTCACCTGTAGATCTGTGTCCTCACAGGTGCTGGACAGAAGCAGGTGTATGTCATCACTCCTGTTCCTCCAGGATCTTCGTGACAGGTTCAGTGGCTGCGTGGTGATCTGAAGTGGATTCAAATGTAAATACATCAGAGAAGCAGATTAAGTTAGAGACCAGTGGTGCGCAGCAGTTTAATGTAATTGATTTGCTCATGTTTCTCGCTGCAGGTTTTTTTTTTGTCTTAATCTTGTATGTGTGTGTTTATTACCACCAGGTGGCAGCAGAGCACCTCTGATGGCACACCTGTGAACCAGGAACATGCCACCGACCAGGAGAGCAGCTCTGCCTGTTGTGGGCAATGAAACCAGGAAGTGACACATGTTCTCCACGGTGATCAGCGCTAAGACAAACAAGGTGGAGAAGCTCAGACTGAGTAACACACCGTGACTGAGCTCGTCCAACAGGCTGAGGAACACTGACATCAGACTCCCACCGCAGAGTGCAGGGAGAGCCGGATCTCCAAGGGGTCCCAGGATTAATCTGAGGAGTCACTAGATCACGAAAGAAACAAAAAGTAGTACAGAAAATAGTTAATTTCACTTTTCTGTGATTATTTCTTTTTCTTGTAAAACGCTGGACACGTAAACTTCTTCAGATCACTAAAAATCTTATAAAAAAGTCCTTAATTTAGTCTCTTTGTGGTTGTTCTGCATCTTTGTGCCTCTTTTCTGTAAGTTTAGTGTCTATTTTTGATCATTTTGTGTTTCTTCGTAGTTGTTTGAATGACTTTCCAACAAGTAATGTTTACTGTCACTTCATAAGGAAGCTCTGGTCTAAGAAACCCTGAGCCTGTGCCTGATAGGTCCCTTCAGGAATCCATTCATGCCACTGACAGGCCAACTACCTGTCACCTGGGATGGCCAATCTGATCTCGAGGGGCCGGTGCCGCCCCTCCGGCCTCGCACCTGATAAACATATTTCCCCAAAATATCTTTAATGAGTCTGGACCGTTTCCTCGTTTTGTCCGAGCTCCTCCACAAGGACACATGGGAGGACCCCTCTCCACACCCTGAGAACTGCTGCTTTAATGAAGACCGGCCGATTGTATCAGCCGCCTCTCTGTGGTAATAATGTATGGGATGTAATTTGTAAGTCATGCTGCATTGCATACAGTAGTCTATGCATCCCATTAAAGAGCAGAGACGTAATAGTCCTGTTTGTTGTATAGCTTCCTGTTGTTCAGGCTTATCTCTCCTGGGCAGAAAAACACGAGCCAGGGTCTGCAGGCCTGAAATAGAAACATTCAGGGTTTCAAAATGTTTAGTCGGGTCTATGAGGACATGGTAAGTTTCCACTTTTGATGTCCCTTCTTCTCCGTCAGACGTTGTGCTGCTGTAATACAGGAATCAAAAGGGCTCTGTATGTGGTTTTCAGACTCCAACCAAGTAGAAGTTGTGTTTGCATGAATATTAATAATGGATAAAATGCCTTTTTTTTTTTTACCCATCATGAAATTACACAATTTGGTGCGTTATGGACGTGGACATTCAGCAGGACAAAGACGAAAGAGAAAGATAAAAATCTCCCCCAGAGGGGCGCGGGAGAGTTGATGGGGAGGCAAAGATACTACGTGAGGTGACTTTTAATCAGAATTCATCCTCTTTTTCGGAGTCATAACTTAAATACACAAATATATAATTCAGTGTGACTTACACTTCCTTCTGGATATAATTACCACTGAGCCCCATTGTGAATAAACGTCCTTAAATCTGCTGAAAAATCATAGAAAAAGGACGATTCAGAACTTGCCTGAGGATTATCACATTTTTAGTTTCCTTCAGTATCACAGTAATCCAGTGATAGTTGTCTGCACATCCATGGGTACACTGCAAACAGGAAGTGGTAATAACTAATTTGGTTACTAATGGCGCCAGTTTGCCAAAATGTAAACAAATAGAGCTCAAATATGAGCTTACATTACAACGGCACATTTGATGAACTTTTATGTTCTTGCTCTCCCGGTGGCTTTAATATTTTTCTGAGATATTAGTTCCCAAACAAGCCTATCATTTTTTTTTTTAATACTTACTCACTCTGGACTGAATTGAAATCACTGACCCGTGAAGGTAATGTTAAAATCAACACACCTCCCTAGGGAGATGAATTCGGTGCAAACAAGGGTGAAAACCTAAAACAAATGAGCAGACATGCTAATCTGCAGACATATACAGTATTTATAGAAGACAGGGGCCACAGCCTGGGCTGAAGTGGCCTGTAATGGAGCTAGTGTAGGTCTCATTGTGAGATTAGAGTCTCATTCTCACTCGCCACATCTGCTCATTTCCTTTTTCCTCTTCACGAACCTGCTGATGTTTCCCCTCCGCTCCCGCCTCACGTTCCTCGTTATTTCCAGAACCTGCCACTGTAAGCTGCTTAACTCCCCCACAAGTCCCTGTGCATGACCTTTGACCTTGTAACTCAGCCCACACATCGTTCGATCTCTTATCTCGCAGCTTTGTAAACCTTTTACATCCATAACTTCAGATGACCTCTTTAACACCAATTCACTCTCCAGTCAACAGAGAATATATTTTGAATTTGAAACTGGTTGTTTGTTTTTCACCTTGCAGGTCCCACACTTACACCTACACAAGACTCAAAGTCTGAGCTGTGAAAAGAGAAAAGTAAGAAAGAAAGTAGTAAGTAAGAAAGAGAAAATCCTTGGGCAATATCAACATTTTGATGCATGACACAGTGTCAGTGCAGGAGCAAGGACACAGAAAAAGACGACAGCGAGAGTTCAAGTTTGTGTTTTTTTTTTGAGTGAAAACAGATCTGCCCTC